GTACTTAGCATTTGATAAGATCCATTGATGTAGTTTTCAGTGATCCATGAGACTCCTTTGCCGAAGCATACCATTTATCTAAAAGTTTCAATTTTCTGTGGGATGGTTACAAATATATATTTACATTTCACCAAATAAGCATTTGGCATTTTGAGTATTTTAATAAGAACACTTATAGTTTACTTAGATCTAACTTCTATAGATACTAATATTTTTACATAGCTTCAGCTTGTATACTTGCAATAACAGTAGTGAAAGCAGAATTTAGATTATTATTCATTTTATATGATGTAATGTGATATGAATTAAATGTGTGAGTTATTTTTAATTTTAATTACTAAACCAGCCATTCAAAAAATTAATAATAGTGCATTGTCATTCAACAAAACAAATAATTGAGTGTCTATAAATATTAAGTAATGTTAATGAGAGGTTATTAAGCTAATGTATTTTAGTTATATGTGTCAAGGACACTGAAAAAACAAGAAATCTCCATTTAGCCAGTGTATTTTATCACCATGATTTGAATTTAGGATGAACTACCAGTGGATTTATTCATACAGATACTAATAAACTCACTTTAATAGTATAAGGCTGTTATTAAAATATTTAGTACTGAAGTATGGAAGAGGAGATTCTAACTCAGAGTTTTATAATAATATGAAATTGTGTATTAATATTTTGATTGCATACATGCAAATACTGTATGAAAGGTTTTATATTATGGAACTGGGGGGAAAAAGCTTTCAGAGAAAGAAAGGCTAGACCTCCTAGATGTGCTAGATAATGTATCTTAAAAACCATAAAATCTTGAATAAGATGAGATAAGGGAGCTGCCACACCATAATGATGGAACTTTCAGTCTTTATGTTATGAAGATTTTACAAATAGTAATATTTATGAACATTTTTACTTTTTAGAATTGTAATAATTAACTTCTTGACTAAAAAAAAAGAAGTGTCTTGCTACAAATCTATCATATTTCTTTGGTCTTCCAAGTGCTTTTATCATGGTAATTTAATGCACAGTTCTAAGTATCCAAATCTAAAACTCATATTATAAGCATTTTCAGCTTGGTCTAACATGCCTCTAAATAGCATTTAGGAGAGGTCTTTATTCTGTCATGCCAAATTTTACAGGCGTGTGGTGTTTGCCAAAATCTTCAGCAGAATTATCTTTTATTTATTTATTTTAACCATTTAATGCTAATTTTCCCATTACTTAAGTGCATGCTGTCTTAATCACTTCTGGATCCTTGCTTATGGAATGCCCAGGAGTTCTTAACCTTTCCATGCCATGAACCCTTTTCACCATTGCTGGACCATTCTTATTCCCTTCCTTTCCAAAACTCGAAATATTTATGCACATTTATTAAAATTAAAATTATTTTTAATGCATTTCATAAATAAAACAAGAAAATGTTGATAAATACATACCTAAATAAAAGTAGTTTTTTATACTCATAAACTAAAACTAAATGCTTAACAGATAACTAAAAGGCTGACCTTATTCCCCCTCTGAAACTGAAATCCCCTCCCTTGTTCAGAATTCCTGGTCTGGCAGATCCCTGGCCACTTGTTACTAATCTGTAGTTTTAAAGCATTTCAACTGTTTCCTGATCTGAATAACATAACTTCTGGAAAGCTTACTGAATCTTAATGGTTTCTGAAACTTCCTAATAAAAATTTATGCAATAATATTGTATGTTCTTTTTACATGAACTGATTGAAATATTATTGATATCATTTTTATGTAGTGAAAGGCCTGTACTTGTCACTTAATTGCTATTTATGTTTTAGTGTTGCCTTCATCTCTTATAAATGACAAACTTTATGAGACAGGATTAAAACTAATCAGTGTCTTAAGATGGGGCAAGATTAATCTTATGCTAAAATTTCTAGAAAGTTTTACATTAAATATGTGGGAAAATACAATCCACCAAATTTACCATGAGTATGACTTTGATGGTTTAAATTGTATCTCTCTTCTTTTTTTTTAATTCATTTGGAGAATGTTATACATTTTATTAGATATTAGCACAAGGGTTATCTACATAAAAGTTCTTTTACCCCCTTAGAAAGAGAGTAAATTAACTTTTAAACACATGTTGAGGGATGAATCATAAAAAATGCAACCACGCAAACAATTTGCTCCATTATTACCTGATATTTTAGGATAGCTGTGTTGCATTACATCCATCTTAAAGTTAAGTAATGATGATTAAATATTTGTATTTAACTCTCTGTATTTAACTCTATTAAAAGCATGACTGCTTTTAATTTAATCATGAGATTTTTCTGCCACTTTGAAGCTAATAACATTTTATTTAAAATAGTTTGCTTTCTTATAGTTTTCAGTTATCTAAATGTCATTCTTATGAATGGAAGATTATGAAAATTAAGCATAAAATAAGTAATAATGCAAAAATGGTTAATAAATACTGTTTATATACAGTTCATCAGCATATCAAAAATGTCATGTTCCCTCAGACATTAATGCATATTTTACATTTAGTCACATTTCAGAACGAAAGTGATATTCTGAGAATTTATTTGTGAAGCATTTCTACTGTCAACTTATATTTTAACATTTGAAAAATATACACATGAAGTTGATGAGCAATTGAAAATACTTTTCCCTCCTTCAAATGCTGCCTTCTTAATCGTATTCTGTATATTCAAAATATACCTAAAATCAGTGCTGTCCAGTCTCACAAATTTTAAAATGGCTTTGGCCAATATATGGCTTTGAGTTTAACTCATTCGAATACTATTAAACCCTTTTATCAAATCCAGAGCTATTTATGTTGAATTTGTTGCAAATTCACATCAAGCTTATCTTGAACTTTTTTTCACAAGCAAAGAGTACCATAATCCAATAATTTACTGAGAATTTAGTTGCTTAAGGCTTTAATGCTAATGGAAGTCATTACATTACCCATAATTTGTGAGGTTTGTAAGAAAAGCATGAAACACAGAATCATATAATGTCCAGATAATGATTTTGAAGATTTCCCTAACCTTATCTTTGAAGTTCGTTTGAAGTCATTGAAACTTGTTAGCTAAACATTTAAATTTTTTTAAATGTTTTATGTGTTTTGTAAAGATCAATGCTAACATTCATACATAATCTTTTTGCTCGTTCACCTTTGTTTAAGTTACTGAATGCTGATAGTTCAACCTGGGTTCGAATCCCAGTTCCCTTAACCAGATAGTCCTTGCATGCATTTTTAGGCTTGTTTCTGAACTTTACTGTAACTGATGTGCTACTAATGTAATAATTTTGAATTAATCTTTATATATAATTTTTCTGCTGGTGTAATAATGCATTTTTCGTTTATTGATAAAAGTATTTAATGTCTCAGATTTTGTCAGTATTTTTCAATGTCGAATTTTGCTAAAAGGGAGAAAAGAGTGCTTAATATTTAATTTAATTGGAAGTTTTCAAGCTGATATCTGTAAATTTGAAAGGCTTTCCATGTTATATATGGCAAATACTTATTACGTAAGATCTTTGAATTTGGTAATAAAGTATACAATAGTGGGTGAGGTTTTTAGCTGTTAACATACGTAAGATAAAATTTTATTTTGGTAAAGCTCATTAACCCACCGAGCATTACAGATGTATAATTCTGTATTGAAGAATGGCTTTCCAATTTGTTACACATGGAAAACTCTCTTATCTCTTGGTGTATCCAAATTTGCTGCAAACAATTTATTTCAGCCTTGCATTTTCCTTCTCAGTTTTGTAATTCTGTATTCATGTTGTTCCAACCTCCTGTCATGCTTAACTGGTAGTGGCCAAATAGCCATTGTTAGAAGGATATTACAATGTAAGGTTCATAAATAACAAGCTCAAATACTGCCATACCATCTGCTGACTTTAAGGTAATTTTCATACCCAAACTGTTGAATACTGAAAAGCTTTCAACCAAAAGCTTTGTGTATGTGAAAAATCTATTTGCAAAACAGAATTTCTTCTGAAAAGGAAAATGTAATTTGCACAGAGGACATGAGTAAATTTTAAAGGAATTAGTGTCATCAAATTTATAAATAATTTCCTTCAGCGTGTAATAAATACTTATAATATACTAAATAAAGGTATCTTACAGTGACTATTGAAACACAAAAATTTTAGATAATTTTTATTTTTAGCTGGGACTATTAATTTAAACTATTGTAGTTTATAAACTACTGTGTCAGTTCACAAATACAATTACTCCAGTAAATTATTCAGAAATGTAAATTAGATTTTTGAAAGAGTTCAAATCATGTAATTTCATTTCTAATTAACATATCATTTATATATTTGTATCAAAGTTCATTTAATTGCATGAATGTAAATTATGAGCATTTTATACATTAAAATATGAGGGCCTTACTCTCATGATTTCTTGTCTAGAAAGAACTTTTACGAAATTTTCTTGGCATTATATGACAATGATTGGCAAGTAATATCATAAGAGATTAAGTTGCTTTTTGAAGGAAATAAAATGAAGTATTGAAATGAGTACGAAATTATATAAATGCATTCCCCCCCCCCAAGTAAAATACTTACATTTTGCTGAAAGTGTTAGAAAGAGACCAAATGGCATTTGATCATAAATATTTTAATGTTATGTAGAGTTGTGTATTTCCAAATTTTGAAACAGTTGCAACATAAAATTCTTAGCTAAAAATAAACATTTGTGAAAAGTAATTGTTAACAGAAGAGAAATATATTAGAAAATATCACTTTTTATAAAATGGTTACAGTCACTATACAGAGATGAAAAAAATATGAGATGCAAAGTAATTTCTAAAAAGAAAACGAGATTTTTCAATTCTAATGTGGATCAAGATTTGAAGTAACACAATTAGAAGCTTAAATAGACAAATTTGGCTTTCATGGAGCATTTCTAAGTAGCATGAGAAAGTAAATCTCTTTTTATAGTTTGGGTTATTTGTTACCATTTTACTCTGTATTATGATCTCTTTTCATCTTTTTTTTATTTCTTGCAGGTATTGCTTTCTAAACTTTTTATAAAAACCAATCAAGTATTTTCAAACAGTGAAAAGGAGAAAGAATAGGAAATATAAGAATGAAAGTCAATGTACATGGTAAATCTAGACATTATTTGGTACCTTGGATGAAAATGACTTCTTTTCCACAAATTCTAACCCCCTAGCCATATGACACTATTATCTGTTTTTATTCATACACTGTTGATTCCACTCTGAAACTGTGCTGAATTAAGGTGAAATTTTACTAACAGCTTAGTTCTGAAATGGAAAATTATTAAGAAACTGGAAGGTTTTGGGAACTACAGATGATGAATCAATTTCATCTGAAAGTGAAACAAACAATTCTATTGCAAATGCAAGAGAATGTTGTGTTGTTAATCCCTGCACCACCAAACTTTCCCTTTGGCGGCCATCCAAGACAGATCTCATTTGATCCAGACCTCGCCTGCAGCACCTCTCGTGGACTCATGACCATATCGATTATACCCCAGACGACTGAAATATCGTGGCTTTGTCAGATGATTCACGAATTCAGCTGCTAACACCTGATGGCAGACTTCGAGTGTGGCACAAAATCCCATGAAGCCATGTACTCAAGTCAACAAAGCACCGTGGAAGTTCCATAATGGTGTCAGCTGGCTTTTGATGACATATCCTGGGTCCTCTGGCTACAAATGAACCGATCCAAATGAACCTTCGCCATAGGCTTTCAAATGGAAACTAAAATTAAAAACTTCTTGCACATTGATTACTGCAAGGAATTGTTCAAAAAACCAATCAAAAAGTAGTTTTGATCACAGAGAGACCAATTACAGTCATCCCGTGTGTGGGAAAAGTAATTAGTGAGCAAATATTTAGTTCATTAATGAAATTTTTGCATTTTGCAAATGATGAAGAATTTACGTGAGCAGTCATCTGTAACCAAACGTGAAGAAAATATACAAAATTCATAAAAAGTTGATTGGAAAATTTTAAAGTGTTTACATTCTCAAAAGAAAGAAAGCAGCATATTCCTTCAAAACGAAATCATTTTGAGATTAAACTTTTTCATCTCTGTAAACCCAGAAGCGGAATAGATACAGAATTCGGCCGTATATATGAAGGAAAATGTATTTAGAGAAGAGTAAACAGTATGGCAAGCTACTAAAAGTGTTTTGTCTTCAGTGCACAATTTACTGGGACAGGTGTATTTGTTAACAGCAGACAATTTGTACACTTCTCGAGAATTAGCTGAAATTCTAATTCAGAATAAAAGTGACTTATGTGGGACAATACAAAGTAACAGAAAAGATTTACCAGCATCATTTGAAAATTAAGAAAGGAAAAATAAAAGCTTTACAGAAAGGAAAAATTTGTGTCCTAAAATGGATGGAAAAGAAAGAAATCTGAATGCTGTGTTGAACAAAGCTAGCATTCTGGAAGTAGTAACAAAAGGAACAAAATATATTGAAAAATCCCAAGTTGGTTGACTATTAATGTCAGAGGAGCTATAATAGATCTGATCAGTGTTTATTGTATTACAATATTTTGTGGTACCAGCAGAGAAATTACTACCAAAAGCATTTTTCAACGCTTACTTAATCACACTGTGTAGAATTCATTTGTGATTTATAAGAAAATTCTTAAATTTTTCTCCGATGCGCACGATAATCTTTTCAAACCCTACACAAGTTGCAGATCATAACAACTCGTATAAGTATCATACATTTTTACAAGTGTTCTTCCGTAATTTGAAGAGAGATGAATCCCACTTGTTTAGCAAGCTGTGTGGAGATTTAATGATATGCTGAAGAATTACCTGATGCATAGGGTTAAAAGGAAGTTTAAAATGAGATAAAATATTTTAGGTTGACCTAAAATATTTTAAACCTTATAGAGCACATCTGAGATGCTCTTGGGAGGGCAATTTCATCTTGCTCTCCCCCTTCAAGAACCATCACCTAGTTGAAAACTCTTGCTGCTTTAGTGTGATTGACTGCAACAGGCTTCCTCAACTATCTCCTGTCCAGTATGCCATCATGCTGCGTGACTTGTCTGGCTATGAGAGGGGACCACAGTGCAATAGGTTATACCCTATGTGTTTGACTCACTTTCAGTTAAATATAACAACAGGAATTTTGGACATTCTTGCATCTTGAAGTTCACTGATAATCATCAATTTTGAATGATGTATCTTTTTTTGTGTTAAATGTGTGTATTCATACCGAATTGGATTAAAATCTGTCTATTAGCTTTTCAGAAATTCAACATAATGGGCAAATTTTCTTAATTTTTCTGAAGTATATATTGTTATTTTTCCTTGAAGAGGTACGTTAAAATATAATGTAATAAATGTTTTATAAGTGATTTTTAATATAAATATGTTGAAAACCTCACTATTATTTCTTTAACTGTGGACAACTATAGTTACAAGGCTTGGATATTTAAAAATAATTCATGAATTTAATTTAGTTCAATCATATCTGAATTTGAAGCAGCATTTAGAATATTTTTGATTTCCCAGTTAGTGTAGCTAGTGGCAAAAGAATTTTCAGCATACTTAAAATAATAAAAAATTAAAAATAATAATAAATCTTAACTTGATAAAAACATGTTTTTCAAACATTGCAATTCTATGGCAAGATTGGTATCTGTTCAAACATAACTATTCTCTTTCAAACATGATCATTCCATGAAACTCTGATAGTAGATCTATAGTATTTAATTGAGTATATTTTGAGCAAACTGTTGATGATTTTGCTTCATTACAAGCAAAAAACTGATAATTAAATTAAAAATTCTTGAAAAAATAAGTAATATTTTTTAAATTGTTTGCATTACTATTTATACTATTTCAGTGTCACTTACCAATTAGCATAAGGGAATTTTTTAATGCTTTTTATTTCAAAGCAGAAGCTGTGATTTATAAATGTTTTGGTATTATGATTTTAAATATAATGAATGAATGAGTTATGGTTATAAATTATATAGATGTAGTTAATTTGAACTTTTGTATATGTACTATGTGTGCTTTTCTTTCTTTTTTAAAAATGGCTAGATACCTCACATTGTATTATATAGGGATGCACGTTTACCTCTTTGCCTCTGGTGAAAAAGGTATACAAGAACAGCTCTGCTCATTATTTTAGTTCATGACAGCATTTTTCTTTTTTTATTTTAAGGGACCATGATATCAATTTTGGCTGATTTCTGATGACAAGAAGAAACATTGACTTATGAAAAATGTACGTCATCATCCTGTTGGTCTCGCCATAGATTTACATGAAATATTTTCTGGTGATTACGACTAACTCCACTTTTTGAAGAGGAAATTGGTTGACAATGACATGCAAGACTGTCAGGTCCATGGAGCAGAAAAATTAAAATATTAGAAGACAAATAGCTTTACATTGACGGGCCACACTTTTAGCCACCATTTCTTCCATTTTTTATAGGGACTTTGAATCCATTTTAGTGTTTAGAATCATGAACCATGCCTATTGCTGACCATCTGCCTTCCTTCTATCATATATTATCATTGGGCCATATGTAACATTTTATAAATCACTACAAGTATATATAAAGGAAAATAATGCTGTCAGCCACTTTCCAGCAGCATTGCTCTAGGAAGGGAATATTGAAAATAGTCTTTGATTTTCATACAGGCCAATCAAACTGCATATGAGGTTGCCATGGAGTATCACACCTGTGAAAAACTATTTAAGGGTTATAATTGTTTAGAAATATGTAATCTTGATGGCTTGAAATTATTTTAGAAGAGCAAGATTGAATTTCTTAAATTTTTCTCTAGTGGGCTGGATATTCTTTTGGAACTCTAACAGGTTGCAGATCATAACTCATAAATTTCAGGTGCTTTTACAGTTAGTCTTCCATAATATGAAGAGATATGAATCCTAACTCATAAATATCATAGTTTTTACAAGCGGTCTTCCTTAATTTGAAGAGATCTGAACCACACCTCTTTATGCAAGCTGTGTAGAGATTTAATGATATGCTGAAGAATTAACTGGTACATAGGGTTAAAATGAAATAAAATGTTTTAGGTTGGCATGCTGAAACCACAAAAGTAGGAATTTCTGCAGATGTGCTTCATCAGCTAAAGCTGAAAGAGATGGTTTGATCAAGAATGTAGTCTTCTTTTTCTTTCTGTGGGGTTGCAGTATTTTGTTACACAACAAACATCTTGCAACAGAGAATTTGTCTTCAACCTTTGACACATCTAAATGTTGATTCGGAGCTCAACAGCTCTCCAGAAGGCAATAAAAGCAAACTTGATCAAATCATATATTCTTGCTTTAGTTAATGAAGCAGATAATAGGCGAGTCGTCTGCAAAAGCTCCTATGTTCATTTAAATGCGTTTCAGCACGTCAACCTAAGACATTTTGTCTCGTATTAAATGAAATTATTAAATGCATTCATCTGAATTCTGAGAAATTAATTCATCACTCTTTCCTTGTGTAACTTCCGATTTATTGATCTGTTATAGTTCCTGATTTTGTGCTAATTTGAAGCCATTGCAATGTTTATTAGGAACTAGTTTGGTGATAAGAAGACTTTATGCTGAAAAAAAGCAATTATATTTCTTAATTAATCTCATACATTAGTTTTTCTGCTTTGAAGTATTTATTTCTGTGCCTTGACACATTAAAAATGGCTTAGCTTTCACCTGTGTCTCTCTTTTATTGTAAATTAACTGAATTGTGATTTTCTGTTGCTTCAACCAAGGAAATAACAGTTATAAGGTATTTCTCCCGCCTTCTTAACTTACCTTAGTGATGTAGCGGTCAGCACACTCGATGCATATTCGAGAGGGCAGAGGTTCGAGTCCTGGCGAGGACATTGCTCATTTTTCACATCTCCTTCTTCGAAATAACCTAATATCTCTACAGTGGCACCTGAACTAAAAAAGGTGATGAATGATGATTCTCTGCCACCAGGATTTGGCGATTGGGTCCCCTAATGCCCAGTCGCCCTTTAAAAGACGGAGTATATAAGGTATTTCTGCCACTTTCGTGGTGTAGCGGTCAGCACAATCGTCGCGTATTTGAGACTTCACGTCTCCCGTATCCAAAAAAAAAAAAAACTGATGTCTCTACACGGTTGCTTGGAGAATTTGTGAGCTTGCAAATCCATCATCATAGATCATGCATCTTGACACTAGTAATCTTTCTAGTCAGGAATTTCATTTATTGCATGAGCTATATAATTCTATTTGTTGGCAGTATTTCATTCTCCCATTTTAACTGATTGCAATAGCAGGTTTTTGCTAATTTCCAATGACAAAAAGGCACATTGCCTTATGAAAACTCATGTCTCATATAGCTGATCTCGCTAATGGTCAGAATGAAGAGTTTTTTTGTGATTAACTGCCCATGCCTTTTCATGAAGGAGGAATGCTTGGCACCTATATGCCAGCCTCTTGGTGCCAATCCATAGCCCACAAAAAGTCTTGAAAGATGATGGCTCAAATTTTATAAACCATAATTTCAGCAGCCCATGCCTTTTATTATTTGTGTAGACTTCAAATTCATGTTGGCAATCCAAATTGTCACTGGCTTATCGCTCGTCGTATTCTCTAAGTACTGCTATGATATTTCGGGTGGTATAGAACATTTTACGAAATTTCGCTAGAGAAAAGAATGCCCTTGAAAACTTTTTAATCATGGAATGAGGAAGAAAGATACACTTTGTGTAAACTGAATAACTTGTATGAATTTGTGAAAAAGATTTAAGGTGGATTTCTAAACAATAAAATATATTGAATATTATTTGTGTTCGTCTTTAAAAAAGAAAGCAAAACATATTAGAATTAAATATATATATCAAGTTGATTTTTTTAAAATTTAAAACTGGGTTGAATATTCTTTTTACTCGAAACGTGAAATGGTTTTGCATAAAGCATTCTCTCATGTTTTGAAATTAATATGGTGAAAGTGAAAATATCTACCCCTAAATAGTCAAAATAATTATTGACTTAAATATATCAAACTGCAAGTTTTAGTTTTGAAGAAAATCTAACTGAAATTTTTCATTTTAGAAAAATGAAGGTTAAACGTTTTGGAACTCAAAGTGTAAATATAATATTCCCCGCTCATGTTTGTCAGAATGAAATTTTGAAATGATTTTGGGCTTTACTTTAAAAGCATAAATAATATATTTTTTTCATATTATATTAAAATACAGTTAGAATTTTTTAAGCTTTGAAATTTTGTGAAAATGCAACATTAGCACAATTCCTGGGAAAATCAGACACACACAATGAAACTTGGTAATTTTGGACTTAAAAAGCCGAAAACTTGCGCTAAAGCCGTAGAATAAATAAATATGAATGTAAATATGAGTAGGTTTGGAACTATGTGTTAGGAAAATAAAATGAATATTAATAAAATAGTTAAGTAAGATTAATAAATGTCCATTTTTATCAAAAGATTCATTAAAATTCGAGAACTATCAAAAGGAAGTAATATTTGGGCAAAATTAAAATGTGAGCCACTTTTATAAAAATGCAGTAAATAAAATTAAAAATTGAAACAGTTATTACTATTTATTGAAAATTGACTTTTTTCATGTTCAAGATATATTGGTTCACTTATGTTTTTTTAACAGTGTGCCCTTCAATGGACGTAATTCAGTTTTCATTTCCAATTTCAGGAAGATATAAAATTAGGTTGGTCTTTATACACTGACTACCAATAAGTATTTGGACACATATGCAAATGACGATATCTGCGGTCCTAAGGTACATCACGGACTCCGCCGGTATATATCGTGTAGGAAACAGCATCGGCTTTAGTCGCATGCAAGATGCCTCGCAGTTCGGCGCTCTCTGATTTCGAGAAAGGTATAATTATCGGGTATCACAAATATTGCCTATCCTTAAGGGACATCTAGCGATCTGAAGTACCCAAAATCGACAGTGGCCTATGTGATTAAGGAGTGGAAGGTGAGCGGTGATTGTCGGAATGTGCCCCGAGTCGGCAGACCAACGAGTGCTGTCCAGAGAAATTCGGAAGAACCGCACCCAACCGATGGCCCTCATCCGCGAGGAGTTTCAACAGGCATCCGGGAGTATCGTTTCAATGAATACCATCCGTAAGGAAGCACATCTGCTTGGATTTCATGGTCGTGCTGCTGCCCATAAGCCTTTGATCACAAAGTCCACCGCGCTGCTCGGTTAATGTGCTGCAAAGCACATCGAAATCGGACCGTAGATCAGTGGAAACGGGTTCTTTGGAGT